GGCCCTCTGGTATCTTTCGCTCTCTTTTTTATTGTAACTACATGATGAAAGTTTTATATGATAAATTCAAGTTGGATTACATTAAAAAGACAGCAAACCGATTTTTTTTCCGCGGCACATTTTTATTATTTTACATCGGCATTTTCCATTGACATTCGACCGGTAAATTTATCAACTAGTTGAAATCCTCCAAATCTAGAAAGAAACAATGCTATATTGAACAATAGTGTGTAGTATTCTACATGCACATAACAAACAATGTGGAAGCATAGGAAAAACTATGCCTGGGTTCTGACATCGATTCTCTACATTGAGAAAAAAATAACACAACAGTTTCTTATCTTGGGGAAAGAAAAAGAGGATAAGGCATAGTTCATCAAGTACTTGATACTTCTTATTTGACACCTTTGTTGGTTAACTAATAAAGCTAAACAAAACATTGTATATTGCTACATAGAAACAAAACTGTTTAATACTTTAGCAAACACTAAAGTAAGATATACTAAAAACAAGCTTCCATGTACTGGTTTCCTGCTAATACCGATATCAAGCTGCCTTGCAATTGTCGTCACCAGCGTCTGAATAGTTCATGAACCATGGTTATGCCAAAGAACCGTATCAGCTTCAAAAATAATACACGATGATCTTGACGTATATATTCTATGTACTGACGTTATTTATCATCCTTCTGAAGTGTTCTTGTATTTGTCTTTGTAAATTACTTACGTCTACTGTTTGTCCATTTATTGAAACATATTTTTTAGGCGTGGCTCGGTACTTGTACATCACGCCATTGTGTTTTTGTGCTGTAGTCATTTTCATACCACCGCTAAACATTTGCGTTTATATAATGATATCATGTCGTCGTGATCGTCCGAAGACACATTTGGTTTCCGGACAATAACATAATATGTTCAAGTGAATAGAAGGCTTGGATTAAGTTTGGGGGTTACTGCCCTAAACTTTTAGACATAAGGGGCAAACAAAGGGGCCAAAAACAAGCATTTTCTAGTTTCCAGACAATAACTTGTGTTAAAGTTTATGGATTCTCTTAAAATTGTACATTTTTCTGAAAAGAAGTAGTCTTAAATTAAAAAATAGAAATTAAGGGGAGGAGTTCAAAAAGTGTTGTAAGGATTTAAAAAATTTTTTTTGTATGGTCCATGTTTTGTTACTCAATAAAATTTTTTGACAATTTTTTTGGGGACGATATTTAAAAAAACATTTTTGACTTGGTACAGGCATTTTCTTTTAAGTAAAAGGTGGATTTAACCTGGTTTTATAGCTAGCTAAATCTCTCACTTATATGACAGTCGTATAAAATTCCATTATACTTACATTTATATTTTTTATTGAAACCTATGCTGTCTCAAATATTTAATCACAATCCAAATCCAGAGCTATATTAAGCCCAAGCTATTCAGGGTTTGAACTCTGTGGTTATATCTAACTGCGTCCTTCTAGTACAGTCGATTTGTGCAAATTTAGACAAAATTGCTCTTATTGTGGACAAAGTATTAACTTTTGCATACTAGAAGTATAGTTCATGGTTAACATTTCAGCTATGGACCCCCTCTGCAAGTCAAAATTGGCGGAAGCGGTGGTCATTATTCTATAACATACTTCAAAAAGTCATGAAAAGTATATTAAAGCCATTGACATGAAACCTGGTAAAAAGAGTTGTACAAATTGCCATGTTGAACAAACTGTATGAAAATGTTACCAATATTGAAGTACGACCGTCTTGAAAAATCTCAAAAAATCAAGTAAAGAAAGGTCAAGCTCCGAATGCAAAATTCAATGTCGATAAATCGTTGGTTGTAGCGATGTCCTGAAGGGTTCCTATATAGTCCAGTCGATTTCTGAACAATTATGCAGATAGTGTTAATTTCATCAAACTGTGCAGAGTTTAAAGTTAGGTCATAGCAAACATTTAGAGTTATGGCTACATTTCAGGAAATCAAGATGGCTGACTTTGGCGGCCATTTTAATAGCTGCTAGAAAAATTAATAAAACATGTAAAAAATCATATGAAAATTAGGCTAAGAAAATAGTTTTGTCATTTTTAATAAAACAAATGACAAGGACTATTATATGAGGATTTCAGATATTGAAGTACTATCGGCCATTTTGAAAAGTGGCCACTTGAAAGCAAAAATTTTCAATGCATCGTTTTATATATCCTATTGTTTTGATACATTCACAACTAGTTTTGCAAATTTCTGTAGAAATGTGGCTATTTATATTTAAATACACCAAGGGGTATCACCTTTCAAGAACAAAACATTACGTAATGTATTTCGATACTGCCCTGACCATATCGAAAAGGATTAAAATGGTAGATATAAAAAAAAATGCAAACTATAAAAAATACAGAATTCCAAGTAAAAGTCCCTTATCAAATGACAAAATCAACAGCTCAAAACACATCAAATGAGGCCGAAACAGCTGTCATATTCGTAAATTGGTACAGGAATTTTCTTGTGTAGAAAATGGTGGATTAAACCTGGTTTTATAACTAGCTAAACCTCTCACTTGTATGACAGTCATATAGCAATCCGTTTTATTGACAATAATAACAGTGGAGCTGAAAAATCTAATGAACAGATAGCCTAGACAAAATGTTCGATATACCAACAGATGACACCTGTCGTGAGGATTTACAATATAGAGCAATAATCAAAACAACAAACATATACATTGGAGCTGGTTATCAGTCCTTTTATTCTAGATTATTTGTTGAATTGGTTTTATCCCCCATCACAAAAATTGGAACAGTTGAATGAAGGTCGTGGGATTGCAGAAACACTCCAGAATCATAAGACAAAATGACACAAATTCTATCGTTTTTTTAGATCTCAAGTTATCTCGTCAAAAAAAATTAAACATATTCTGAAATCGAAGACGCGTCATGTTTGAAAATACCAGTTAAAATAATAAGATACAGTTGTGGTGAATCAAGAGGAACGTCATTCAATCATTATTATATATTTTATATATTACTAAAAACTATATACCCCTTATGAGCCCCGAATACAATGTTTAAATATTTTAAATAAACAGAGAGTTTGTACCCAGTCATTCTGGTTTAAGGGTATAACTCGTGGCTCTATATGCTAAATGTCTTGAGTTTGATTCCAAGCATGGAAACAGGATTTGTTTGTACACTAATTTTGATAATCGTTAATTTATATCAAAACAATTTTTTTGATATCAGTATATTTAGAGAGATTAATCTGTATGTATAGATATTGCACACTTACTTCTATATTCACTGTATACCCAATATATCAATTATTCCTCAAATATTAAATTAAACTGCATTCATTTATCTTAGAAACAGATTTCATATTCATATTTATTTTTTCAAGTATATATTCATTTTTTTAAATATAAATACTAGTCATAATTACGAAAGATAAATCGATTCATGCAAGTATTGTTTTCTTCAGTTTTCTAATAACATACTGTAAACCAATTTAATTTCGCGAGCGATTTATTTTCGCGACTTTCGCTAGTATAATAATATCGCGAATATAAATCGTCGCGAATATGTAAAACTTTGGTTATTTCTTACTTAACTACATCAAGTAAATTTTAAAATCGCGAAATCAAATCGCCGCGAAATGGACTAGAAAGAAATAAACGCTAAATAAATAATCCGCGAAAATAAGTTGGTTTACAGTATTTTGCAAATGTTTAATTAGAAAATTTAAAGGTCATTCTCACTAGATTTAATAGTTAGTATTTTTCGAAGCAACGCCTGTCCAGCCATCCGTCTGCTAGTCCGCTTCCTATCAGGTTACATATTTTTGTTAAGTAGTTTAACATGCAGTTGTAGTTTCTTCAACCTGAAACTTTGTTTACGTATTAATTGTTTTGTTAACTAAAAGAATTATATATTAAAAAGTAAAATCACTAAAATACTGAACTCCGAGGAAAATTTAAAATGTAAAGTCCCTTATCAAATGGCAAAATCAAAAGCTCAAACACAACAAACGAATGGATAACAACTGCCATATTCCTGACTTGGTACAGGCATTTTTATGCCCCCGCCGAAGCGGTGGGGCATTAAGTTGTACCCTTGACCGTCTGTACGTTCTCTAACTTGAGTGCCTCCATCAAATGTTATGAAACTTATACACAATGGTTATTACCACAAAATACAGATCAAGTTTGAATTTTGGTGGCGTCACTTTAACCGTTCTAGAGTTATGCCCCTTTATAAATGGAAAAAAATGCAAAAGTTTTAGTTTCTGTTCTCTAACTTAAGTTTGCCTCAACCAAATGTAATGAAACTTATACACAATGCTTATTACCACAAAACACAGATCAAGTTGAATTTTGGTGGCGTCACCTTAACCGTTCTAGAGTTATCCCAGCAGGCATTTCAACGTTGAAACAACGTTTAATCAACGTTGATCTGTAACGTTGAAAAGACGTTGAAATAACGGTTGGTTTTGAAAGTTGACACAACGTTGAATATCTGACGTTATATTTTCAACATTGTATCAACTTTGATTTTTGATTGAATATGGGTTGAAACTTAACATTGAAACAACGTCACCCTAATATTGCAACAACATTCTTTCATGTTGAAATAAGCAATGCGTTGCTTGTTGTTGGCTTATTTGTCACATGTGTTTGTCGTTACAAATTTAGGCGGTTGGTTTTTCTCGTTTGAATTGATTATTGAAGGGTGTATTGTGTCCGGGTATTCTATTGCGGTCTATACGGTGTGGTGTGTGCTTATTGCTGAAGTCCGTTTAGTGACCTCCACGTCAATTGGACTCTGTTGGATATTTGTCTCATTGGAAATCATACCACATCTTCTTATATCGATAATAGTTAGTAACCACACAAGATATTGAAGCCACATGACTCTACAGAGGACATCAGCAAGATTTGAATAAAAAACAGTACAACAGATGTCAAAAGCTAAATTAAGTATAGCCAAAAGGTGATCTGGTAAATGAATACAAATAATCTCTTAATAGTCTCTAAACTCCTCCAACCATTTCTGGTGCACAATCCTTCTTTAATTCAGCTTCTGTTATCTTTGTGTAGGCCTCCATTACTCTACCTGAAAAAACAGACCAAATAATATTTTGTAAACATGACTTAGCAATTACGTAGAACGTCAAAGGCAGGGAATAAAATGTTATATAGGCCAGGTTTTTTTATTTTTTTACTGGTTTATATAACAGCGGATCCGTTTTTACCATTTTTTTTCGCTCCTGTACATGTACAATGTAACAATACCGCCTATCTCGAGCACCACGATCTATTGTTCAAATGCCACCTATTTCGGCCACCACGATCTATTGTAACAATGCCACCCATCTCAAGCACCAGGATCTACTGTCACAATGCCACCCATCTCGAGCACCAGGATCTATTGTAACAATGTCACTCATCTCGAGCACCAGGATCAATTGTTAAAATGCCACCTATCTCGAGCACCAGGATCTATTGTACAAATGCCACCCATCTCGAGCACCAGGATCTATTGTTAAAATGCCACCTATCTCGAGCACCAGGATCTATTGTAACAATTCCACCCATCTCGAGCACCAGGATCTATTGTAACAATGCCACCCATCTCGAGCACCATGATCTATTGTAACAATGCCACCCATCTCGAGCACCAGGATCTACTGTTAAAATGCCATCTATTTCGAGCACCAGGATCTATTGTAACAATGCCACCCATCTTGAATACCAAGATCTATTGTAACAATGCCTCCCATCTCGAACACCAGGATCTATTGTAACAATACCACCTGTCTTATTGATTGCAGAGGTTATGTTTTAAATTTGATATGCATTAAAAAAAATATTAATCCAAATAAAATCAAATCAAATCAAATGTCTTTACTAGTATTCCTAATTAAAGGGCCTATATAGAGCATATAAATCAATTCAAATCACAAAGTTCACACTAACAACACAGGCAATCCAACATACATACTGATTATTGATAATCAAAAATGTTTAAAAAATTTTAAAAATACATACCTTGACAGCTATTACTTTTATCCTTAAATCTTTCTTTCCTAAGTTACTGATCTGTCCCTTTCCTAAGTTACTGTTCTGTCTCTCATACCTGTGCAAAAAATAAGAATAACATCGATCATCATCGCCAAGCAATATTTTAAATTTGTAAAATTCGATTGAAGAGTAAAAAGAAATTATTAAAAATTTCAGAGCATAGTTGACAATAATTAAAATAGTGTGATTATGGATGACGGGTTAAAATTTTAGATAAAAAAGGGGGCTATGATAATCTTACTTCGCAAAAGTTCCTTTTCTTTAACAAATCAGCAGTAAATAACTAAAATGAGCTGTATGTAGGCTGAGATTGTAGTAAATATTTATATAGAAGTGCAGTCATAACGTTGAACGTACAACAAAAAGACGATGTACACACTGAAGTCAGTAATGTTATCTTTACAACATACACTATGGCGAGATTTTCAAAATATACACGTACGTTTGTGCATTATAATCTCCCAATGTTAACATCACACAAGCATTAAAAGACAATTAATACAGCAACATATAATAATTTAAAGAAACACTTACATTTCTATGAATTCTTCTTTGCTGAAAACGGTCCTAAATATTGTCAAGGAAAATTATAATGAATTTACGCGTTTGAAAAAGGCGGTCACACACGTGTGGTCATACATTAATCAGCATCATGTCACGTGATAATTTTATCAATAGATTATTGGAAGTGCTAATCCTCGTGTATCAGTTGTGTAGATGCCGCACTTTCACATGCTGTGTCTTATCTTTGATTAAAATATTTCCGGATAATAACAAATTAGTTAGTAGCATATTTCGATGAATGATAATTTAAATTTGTACACTTTTATGATTTTGATAAACGTCCCGGTTTTGGAATATTCCTAATTTTACTAGATATTGTACAAAAAAAAAAATGAAAGGAAACATTGATTATCCTTATTTATGAACTTTTGTTGATACAATAACAAAGGATGTACAACTATAATGATTCACCTTTAAATAACGCTGATGGTGGATAATTTTTTACACCAATGCATACAATGTTTTTTTCTGGACGAACCTCCATCGTCGACATGTCAATCAACATTTATCGTTGAATTTTAACAACATATTTATTTCAACCTAACTTCAACATTGAAAATTCAACTAAAATTCAACGTTGAATCAACTTACTTTCTGCAACATAACTTCGACGTTGCTGTTACAACGTTGAAACAACGTTGAAACAACGTCATGACGAAATATCAACCACATTTCAACGTTGAAATGACGTTGCGTGCCGGGTGGGATGCTCCTTTATAAATGTACACAATGCTTATTACCACAAAACACAGATCAAGTTTGAATTTTGGTGGCGTCACTTTAACTGTTCTAAAGTTATGCCCGTTTATAAATGGAAAAATTGCAAAAGTTTTAGTTTCCGTTCTCAACTTAGTTTGCCTCAACCAAATGTGATGAAACTTATACACAATGCATATTACCATAAAACACAGATCAAGTTTGAATTTTGGTGGCGTCACTTTAACTGTTCTAAAGTTATGCCCGTTTATAAATTGGAAAATTGCAAAATTTTTAGTTTCCGTTTTCTAACTTTAGTTTGCCTCAATCAAATGTTATGAAACTTATACACAATGCTTATTACTACATAATACAGATTAAGTACTAAATTTGGTGGCGACACTTTTACCATTCTTGAGTTATGTCCCTTTATAAACATAAAAAATGCTGAATTTTTCGTTTCCGTTCTCTAACTTTAGATTGTCTCAACCAAATGTTATAAAACTTATACACAACCGTTCTAGAGTTATGCGTGTTTACAAATAGAAAAATTGCTGAATTTTTAGTTTCTGTTCTCTACTTAAGTTAGCCTCAACGAAATGTTATGAGACTTACACACAATGCTTATTACAACAAAACTCAGATCAAGTTCAATTTTGGGTAGCGTCACTTTTACCATACTTCAGTTATGTCCCTTTATAAAATTGAGAATGGAAATGGGTAATGTGTCAAAGAGACAACAACCCGACCACAGAACAGACAACAGCAGAAGGCCACCAACAGGTCTTCAATGCAGCGAGAAATTCCCGCACCCGGAGGCGTCCTTCAGCTGGCCTCTAAACAAATATATATACTAGTTCAGTGATAATGAACGCCATACTAAACTCCAAATTGTACACAAGAAACTAAAATTAAAAATAATACAAGACTAACAGAGGCTAGAGGCTCCTGACTTGGGACAGGCGCAAAAATGCGGCGGGGTTAAACATGTTTATGAGATCTCAACCCTCCCCCTATACCTCTAGCCAATTTAGAAAAGTAAACGCATAACAATACGCATATTAAAATTCAGTTCAAGAGAAGTCCGAGTCTGATGTCAGAAGATGTAACCAAAGAAAATAAACAAAATGACAATAATACATAAATAACAACAGACTACTAGCAGTTAACTGACATGCCAGCTCCAGACTTCAATTAAACTGATTGAAAGATTATGTCTTCATCATATGAATATCAGGCACAATCCTTCCCGTTAGGGGTTTAGTATCATACCATCATAACATATATGAGAAGAACATAACCCGTGTCATGCCAACAACTGGTTTTTAAATAAATGTGTTTAGTGCCGATGCAAAGACCCTATAAGTGAATCAATATTAACGCCAAAATATGCAATCTTTAATGACCTGACAACAGTATCGTAACTATATCCATTCTTAATAAGTCTATTTAAAGGTTTTGTTAGTTTCAGAGGTGAATACTGACATTTTTGTGCTTTATAAAGAATATTTCCATAAAAAATTGGATGTGAAATACCTGAACGTATAAGAAGTCTGCATGTTGAGCTATATTTACGAATGATGTCCTTATACCGATGATAAAATTTAGTAAATGTTTTGACTAGTTTGTGATATCGAAAACCCTGGTGTAATAATTTTTCAGTAATACATAAATTTCTCTCGTTAAAATCTAAAACATTGTTACATACACGAGCGAATCGTACAAGTTGAGATACATAAACACCGTAAGATGGTGACAAGGGAACCTCACCATCTAAAAATGGATAATTAACGATAGGAAATGAAAAATCATCTCTTTTATCATATATTTTAGTATTAAGCTTTCCGTTAATGATATAGATATCAAGATCGAGGAAAGGGCAGTGGTCATTGTTAGTATTAGCTTTATTTAAAGTAAGTTCAACAGGATAAATTTCTTTAGTATACATACTGAAGTCGTCATTATTGAGAGCCAAAATATCATCCAAATATCTAAAAGTGTTATTAAATTTGTGTATCAGATGTTGTTTCGATGGGTCTTTACTGATTTTTGTCATAAATTGTAACTCATAGCAATACAAAAAAAGGTCCGCAATAAGTGGTGCACAGTTAGTCCCCATTGGAATTCCGATAACCTGACGATATACGGAATCTCCAAAGCGAACAAAAATGTTATCTAGTAAAAATTCAAGGGCATATATAGTATCAAAGCATGTCCAATTGACATATTTTTTTTTGTTTATTGCTACTAAAAAATGACCTAAAAGAGTTTGAACATATATATTCACATTCTGACTTTTTAAATGCCCATTTAATTAGGTGTGTGAATTTTTTCTTAATGAGAATGTGAGGCAATGTGGTATATAGGGTAGAAAAATCCAAACTTTGAACAGATTCAAAATCACCAATATATGCATGCAATTTATCAAGTACTTCCAACGAGTTCTTGACACTCCAAAAGTAATTAATTCCACTATTTTCGAAGGCCTTATTTGAACAATTTATTATCAGGTTTTTGATTGTTCCAAGTGTACTGGTAAGAAGAATAGACAATTTAGTAGTGGAACAATGGCTTGAAGACGAAATGAATCTATATTTGTAAGGTGTTTTGTGTAGCTTCGGAAGCCAATACATAGTTGGGACTTTCATTGTATTTGGTTCTGCTTGTAAAGCGGTAGCTAATAGTTTATGTTTGTTACAGATGTCGTTTTCTGAAAATGGAGTCAGTTGGAATGTTGGTGAATTGGTGATTTCTTTTTTTAGAACCTCGATGTAAAATTTACGTCAAACAATAATAATATTATTAGCAGCTTTATCGGCCGGGACAAAAACAAATTCCTTGGCTAGTTCTTTTAGTTTATGTTTGATACGAGAAATAGGTTTATTGTGGTTATTGTTAAGAGTAAAATGTTCTTTAAAGTGTTGAATACGTATATTAACTATGTTCATTACTGATTTAAAAAAAGAGTCCAAAGATTTTTTGTCAGCTTTTTCCCGTTTTATCCATTTCAAACAGTAAGTATGGAGTGAGTCGTGGATGATATTACGACACTCATTCCAATTAATAATTGACGGGGGACGATATTTAGGTCCTTTACTGAGGAATGATTTTAACTCTCGGTCTTGAACGATGTTAAGATCTCCTGTTATAACATGGGAAATGGGTCCATAAATGTATTCGGAATTACTGCAATTACATGAAGTAGGTGTATTTTCACTGATATTAACATCTTTACACAATTGGCTATAATTAAACACAAATTTCCGGGTAGATTTCTTGTGAATATAACAAATCAGAGGGAGCTCAGTATTATCAAAATATCCCGGAATTTGTTCTTTAACAGAATGGTCGTTAAAAATACCGGCAATATTTACAAAATCAAAACCTTTATTGACATACTTTATTTTAATAAACTGTTTTTTATGATCTTCAGGGCGATCAATTTTGGGAAACAGTTTAGAATAACAATATGCCATTATAATTTATAACTATATGATATGCAAGCGGGGGTATCATCTGTGTCCACATGTGGACACTATCCACATTTATTTTATGTAGAAAATGGTGGCTTTTATTCCACTCATCAAAGATCATATATACATATATTTGAACTCTAAAATAAGTATAAAGTCTGGTGAAAATGTGAAATAAGAACATTCTCAAGATAAGTTTTCTGATAAGATAGTTTACTATAAATGTGTGGTCCCATCAATTTTAAACCTCTGATACATTTTTACGAACCATAGACAAGTCTCATGATATAGTTTTTGGTTAAGTAAGTTGACCAAGAGATTGTGGTCACATTTACTTATGACACTGTCAATTTTCATTATTTAATTGTGTGGTTAATTATTTTTCTGACTCAAATTTCACGGTTCAGAGAACATGGAAACCTGTTAGTGCGAAGAGGGCATGTTTTCCTACGATCAAAAAGTCTTACCCTCAGTTTTAGATTCTACCTTAATCTTTGTTTTATTTCAATTAGCAGTGAACCAGTGTAAAATAATACGTTAAAATCGTTTCTCGGTAACTAAATGTCAGTTTACATTTTTAAACAGCTAAGATTGCACTAATTTCACATCTATATTGTTTTCTTAAGATTCTCTTTTTTAAACTCAGTTATTTAAAAGGTAAAGTCACATTATCACATCTGTTATATATTGATATGCTTGGTTATTACGCAAAAATAATAATGTCATCAGTGTTGGATCAAACTTGTGGATATACACTCAAATGGACTTTCTGATAATTTATGTACATACAATCTTCATTAATAAAAAGTGGAATTAACTGTAATTGTAGATGTTCTTTAATTTATCATGA